GGGAGATGTTGCACACACACACACACACACACAGAGAGAGAGAGAGAGAGAGAGAGAGAGAGAGAGAGAGAGAGAGAGAGAGAGAGAGAGAGAGAGAGGATTTTTTGACACTGTAAGATAGACTGGTTATGTTGAGAGATTACTGATCTGTGCCTTAGGGCGTCAGGCCCCGAATGTTTTTTTTTTTTTTTTTTTTTTCTTCTGCTTTTCAGTGCGTATATTAGTGGATGCGGCATGTGTATAGTTTGGTTGGAGTTATCCTGCCTTCAGAGCGGGCGACTTCTGCTGAACTCGTCATCATCGCACATCGATGTGTGATGTTTATTGGGAACACATTACACCCTTGTATGCCTTGCGTTGCGTCGCCATGTTTGCAGCTGCAAACAGACTGTGTAATGCTAAGAAGTTACTTCTTACTTTTTTTTTTCTTTTTTTTTTTCTTTTTTCTGGACACGATCTTCTTTTGGCGTGTGACGTGTTTCGACCTACAGACTGTTTCGCTGCGTAGATATAGATACGGTGCTGTCGTGTATATAGTCAAATAGTCAGTCCAATGCAACAAAAGGCGCTGTGCAGAAAGAGCCTGGACAACTGCTTTGGATATATGCAGGCTGATGTGAAAACAGACATGTGAAAACAGAAGCGACGTTCGTACTGCATGTTTCCCTCGTGTGTACACACTAATGAAACCGCTAGTACCTGAACAAACTGCTAAGTTCTTAGTGCGCCCTTCACTATCTGTGTGCACATATACGCAAATCACGTTCAGGTACATGAAAAAAAAGGTGCATATGTGTGTATAGAATCTATAGATATTGTCATATGCCTGGTGACCAGCCTAAACAACAACCTGGACTTTCTCAAAAAAATAAAAAATAAAAATCTATAGATATTGTAGGATGTGAATTTAGGTGTATATATCTATAGGTACTGAGGTCTCTGTACATATGTATGTATATATACCATGTACTATGTATATATGCTATGTAGTATGGACTATGTATATGTACTATGTATAGGTCTCTGTACATATGTATGTAGTATATATACCATGTACTATGTATATATACTATGTAGTATGGACTATGTATATATACTATGTAGTATGTACTATGTATATATATATACTATGTAGTATGTAGTATGTACTATGTATATATACTATGTAGTATGTACTACTACATACTATGTAGTATGTACTATGTATATATATATACTATGTATATATACTATGTAGTATGTACTACGTATATATACTATGTAGTATGTAGTATGTATATATATATATACTAGGCGGCCATGCTGTGCCTCTAGTGCCAGCGGCGTGTCATGAGTGTATTTTTTGGCTGTGACAGACCTTTCTTTGTTTCGTGGATGTTTTGTTGGCTTGTTGCTTGTGATGGGGTGTGAACCGACAGTCTGTAGAGTTTCCCATCTGGTGTGGGTGAGTGATAGTCTACTTTGATTTTGGTTAAGGTAGATTATCATTTACAGTGTAATCAGTGAGGGGATTCTGCAGACTGTTGAGGGTTCAGCCTCCTGATGAGTCGGTGAAACTCCGAC